CTAGAAGGACTGCAGCTGGACTTCTACTCTACAGGTCTATGGATCAAATCCTGGCTACCTAAAGACCTACGACAGACCTACTTACCACTGGCGGTCCTACAGGTCGCAGGTTCAATTCTTCAAGTTGTCACAGATATTGTTCACAGGTAAGTTGGGGAACTAGGGATCGAACCCTGGGTCCTGCATCAGCTACTTCGAACTGGTGAATACCGTTTCACTTAGACACCGGTGGAGGTCAGTGCCAACCCAACCAATAACCCTTAGATAAGATCACAAACGACCAAGAAAGCTAGGGACCGAAATTAGGACCTATTTAGGAAGGGTAGGTAGAGTGCGGCATATTGAAAAAAAAAAAAAAAAACACTGGGGCCACTGGACTAGCCGATAACCAATCATATTGCCTTACATTAGTAACATATGCAAGGAAGATGAGCAATAGCGAACTTAGCAATCAAACAGCATCATACATATGAGTCCAAATAGTCGTGACCTCGAACCAACAGCAGAATTGCATCACGAGATTCACCAAATAAGAACACACCAAGAGTCAGGCCCTCGGCCGCCTGAGTGAATGTATGGAAAGCAGGCCCTGGGCTGGATACGGGTACTGGGCCGAACTCAGGCCCAAGGCCTGTTCTCGAACGTGCTGGGCCTCAGGCTACCGGGGCCTACCGGAAGCTTCCTGGGACTGGACGCAGGCAGGCCACTTCGATATAGCAACGCACTCACGCGCGAGCAAGGAAGGAGCGGGCAGCCATAGCCGAGCTGCTCCTCTGTGAGCTGGGTGTGGCGCAGGGTGGTCCTTGGGTGCAAGTGGCATCCGTGCAGCAATCTACCCAGACCGGCAGCTCAAGGTTTGTAGGGTCAACGGTCACGCAGACTCAGAGTCAGCACGCTGGCGTTATGGCGAGCCAGCCATTAGTGTTGACCTCCGACGAGATCGCCATACAGCAGGCACCCCTGCAGGAGGCACAGCTACAGCATGCATTAGGACAACTAAAAGCGGAGAAAGAAAGGATGATTAGAAGAAGAGCCAGCGAAGGGAAGCGGACGTTAGTGAGTTAGAAGAGATGGATCAAACGCACCTGACTGGTGATGTGAGGCTCATACGGTCTGTCCTGCTGAATGTAGTTGAGATGCAGGACCATCGGACAACCATCCTTCAGGACATCCAGCAAAGTCTCGCCCTGTTGGCTGGGCGAGCGCAGGCAACGTCGCCGATGTTTGGGCCTGGTGCCTCGCCCGTTGTACAACCTCCTCCTTTTGTCCCACCGGTGACTGGGGTATCCCCATATGTAGCCCCATCATCGGTTGCGATCGTTTCCCTGGGCATGCCGCTATCAGGAGGGGTATCAGCAAGAACTAGTGTGCAGGTTCCTGTACAGCCAGTGTTAACCCAATCTCCGTTGCACGTTGCGGTCACCACGCAGCGTGCAGTCTCGCAAATTGTACAGCCGCAGGGTACACAGCCCCAACAGCTGGCACAGCAACCTGTGTCACAGGGTCCACAGCCCGGAGTGATGCAAGGACCGGGACAAACACGGTGGGTTCCAAAGACGACCATCGTCGCTCCGAAACCCTCCACAGGGGATAAGAGAGGTGAGGACCTCGACACGTGGTTGAGGGCAGTGCCAGTCTATGTTAGGTGTAAACTTACCTTGACGCACGAAGAAGTGCTTGTGGCTGCCTCCTACCTAGAGGGTAGTGCAGCAAGATGGTTGAGTGGTTTAGTGCAGCTCCAGGGGTATGGTCATGACTTCCGCGCTTGGGAGGTCACCCAGAAATTGGATGACTTCCTTAAGCTGGTGGAGGAAAGGTGGCACGATCCTCACGAGGCCCAAAGGGCCACTGACACGATCCTGACACTGCACATGCGGCAGTTCAAGTTAGTAAGGGAAGCCACCGACGTTATTGAGCGTCTGATCTATGTCCCAAGGGTGCGCTATGACCCCCAGGGACTACTCACCTCCCACCTGAGATGCTTCTCCTTGCCTCTCAGGAACCACTTGGCAGGTGAGGCCAACATCAATATGCACAACTTTCCTTCGTTTAGCAGGAAGGCCCTAGACCTTGAGGCAAAGATAGGGCATGGACAGGCACCCACTACAGATGGTAGGAAGAAAACACTGCCTCCCAACTGGAAGGCGAAGGGACGAATTATGTTTGTCGATAACGGTGGATCAACCATCGAATTAGACGACAACTTCCAGGAGGGAGTAGGTGCAGAGGCGGGCAGCATTGAAGCTTCAGGGGGTGGAGTTGTCGTTGCCGTAGCTCAAAAAGGTAAGGCGACCGGTAGACGCCGTGGAGGCTCCCGGTCAAGGAGTCAAGTCAACCCTAACGCTCCCCCATGGGAGAAGGCGGGTCTCTCAGAGGACGTGTGGAGAGATCGGTACACACGGCAGGCTTGCATTCGTTGTGGTCAATACGGCCATAATCAGTTGAAGTGCCGTAACAAGAAGGTGACCGACAAGATCCCGCCTACGATGGGGCAGGCGGTAGGATCCTCCCATCCCGATGGTAGCAATGTGGCCAGTACTTCAGGCACTGCTTCGGGAAACACGTCGGGCCAGTAGGAATAGTAGATGTTCCTACTAGGGTCGAGGTGGTGGAGACACCCTCACCATCTCGAGAGATGGCCCAAGCTACTGACTCCAGCGTCGTCCCGCAAACACATTCAGACCCATCAAGCCTCTATTCGATGAATGTGTTTGAGTCCTTAGAGGAGCTAGAGGAGGAGTGGTCTAGATCAGCCCCGCTACCTTCTTGGACGGCCCTAGTCAAAGCCCCGAAGGGTGAGATGTTCGTCAGCGAGATAGTCGTTGGCGACCGCAAGGCCGGGGCCTATCATGACACTTGCTCAACAAGGAACTTTATCACTCGCGCGTGCGTTGAGAGGCTGCGCTTACAGGGGCGAGTGCAGCGCCTGAGTCAACCTGTGGAGTCGACCTGTGCCAACAAACAGCGCATGGTAGTCAATGACTACCTCCAAGATGTGGAGTATTGTTTCCCGTACGCGGGAGGGGAATTCAGACATCGTGTCTCATTCCTAGTGAGCGATGAACTCCCCATGGACATCTTGTGAGGTATGTACTATCTCTCTGTGGCACAACCCCAGTTTGATTGGGACTGAAAAGTGGTCAAACACACTTTGCCAGGTGGAGGGACCGCCAGATTACGTAAGTTTAAAGCTAGTAGTCTGATTGAGTCCCATGGATGCATGTGTGCGGCCGCGTTCTATAACTATTATAAGCAAAATCAAGAGGAGGGTATGTACTAAGTTTATGTCTCTGCTGCAGGCGAGCCGGTGATGCATGTGTACAGCCGCGTTGTATAACTATTATAAGCAAAATCAGGAGGAGGGTACGTACTTAGTTTATGTCTCTGCTGCAGGCGAGCCGGTGAAAATGCCGCCGGAGAGGTTGTCACCTCAACACATGTTGTCAAAGGTGTGCGTGTCACCTTTGCCAAAGATCGCTCAGTCACACATCAGTTGAACTGTCCTTGGCTTAGGCTGGTTAAAGGCCCATTGTCTAAGAACCATGTGGGCGGATACTCAGTTCATGGTGCGCAACGCCAAGGGGAATGAGTGTGCCGTCTCGTTGGACAACATGCGCGAGTCCCTAATAACTTTTTTGAGTGTGAACAAAGGTGCAAGGAAGGTGAGCAGTTACGTGTAGCCTTTGTCAAGCCTATCCACATGCCTTCTACTTTTGCTGCATTTTCTATTTTGAAAAATAACTCTAAATTCTACTACATCTACCTCTACCCCATCTACTTCAAATTCGGTTGTTATTGCGGAGTCTAAAACTGATTTTCTCTCTCCTGTCGAGGATGATCCTCCACTGTAAGTCCCAACAAACATTCGATTCTTGGAAGTTTTAGCTGGACCTCGTGGGGTTCTCGAGCGTTCAGTCAAACACAAGATCGAGATAGTAGAAGAGAGTGTCCCTCCAATGGGTTTTGCGGACTGTATAGGATAGGCAAGTTAGAGGAGTTGAGAAGACTGATTGATGACATGATTGATTGTGGATAGATTAGGTCTAGTGAGTCCGAGTTCGGTGCACCTGTCCTGTTTGTGCCCAAGAAAGGAGGCAAACTCTCGATGTGAATAAACTATCGAGGCCTAAACTAAATCACTAGAAAAAACGCTTATCCTTCGCCACACAGAGATAATTTGTTGGATACTGCAGGTGGGTGCAAGGTCTTCTCCAAGATCGACCTCAAGTTTGGCTACCACCAGATTGAAGTTGATCCAGTTGACCAACACATAACCGCATTCAAGACGTGAATAGGTTGTACAAGTTTATCGTGATGCCCTTCAGTCTCAACTTAGATAAATCTGAGTTTGGGAGGGACAACAACATCTATCTTGGGCACCAATTGTCCACTAACGGCCTTGAGCTTAAGACAACCAAGGTTAAGGTCATACGGAAGTATCCTCAACTGACGAATGTAGGCAAATTGCGTTCCTTTCTTGGTTTGGCTTTGTATTACCCGAAGTTTGTACCCAAATTTCTTGTCAGTGTTCACCCACTCTCGAGACTAACAAGCAAAAATGTCACTTATGTGTGGTGTGGAAATGTGAGACTGCAGTCCAAGCTTTGAAAGAAGTTTTGGTAAGTCATCATGTGCTCCACATTGCATATCCCAAACTCACATTCGTATTTACAACGGATTGAAGCCAGTATGGGATTGGCGCAGTGCTGCAACAAGATGATGGCCATGGCTTGCGTCCACTACAATACTACAACAAACGCATGCCCAACCACAACGTAGCCACCTCCACGCACATGCGCGAGCTCTATGCCATGCAAGCGGCACTAGTGCATTGGAAGCACTGCCTCTTGGGGGGTCACTTCAACATCTACTCGGATCATCAGACCTTGCGCAGGATCAAATCACAAACTGATCTCTCTACAACACTGACCTGTTGGCTGCATGAGATTGATGTATATGATTTTGAATTGAAACACAAGAAGCAATTATAATCGTGTTGTTGACGCTTCGTCTCGTCATCCCGAGTTTTTGACTTGCCTTGTGAGCTCTTATGACCTCCGAAGGAAACCGATGGAGGATCTGGTCGAGCACACTGCCAAAGATTCGGGCCTCAGTCCCATTCTTTACCAGATCAAGGTTGACCTTAGTAGTCAGCCTGATTTTCACGAGTGTGACGGTCTCATATTTCATCGCTATGGGAGGTTTAATCGTTTGTGCGTAGACAACCATGAGCCTCTCCGAACTCATTTTTTGGATTTAGCACATGGACGAAGTGGGCACGTTGGTTTTGAAAAGACTTATGGAAGTCTTTTGCAGTAGTTTGATTGGCTGGGAATGAAGGGATCTGGTCAGAAGTTTATTGTTGAATGTCAAGTTTGCCAAAGAACCAACGTCCATAGGCATAAGCCTTATGGCTTGTTGAAACCCGAGTCAGTTTCCATGGACTTCACCGACATGGGAAAGGTAAGTGAGGGAGGGCATTCACAACTTATGGTCATCGTGGATTGTTTTTCCAAATTTATGAACATGATGCCTTTACCACCTCATGCACCAACTGAGTTTGTGATTGAAGAGTTCCATCAAAAGTCCATTCTGCAGAATAGCCCCCATAAAACTTTCGTGAGTGATTGGGACACCAGGTTCATTAGTGCTGATTGAAAGAACTTCACCTCTCATATCTATGACATTAAGCAGAAGAAGACATATGGTCAATACCCCGAAGCCAATGGGTTGGCCGAGGAAATCAACCAGACTATCTTTAATCATTCCCGATCAGAACACGTGGGACAAGGAGCTACACAAAGTGAAGGGGTTGTACAACAACTCCATCCACTCTGCAACTGGCATGACACCAAACCAACTGCACTACGGTTGGCAAATGCGCAATCCTCTCCCCTACTTGTCCCCTAATCGGTCCCCTGGTCTGACGCTTGACATGCTTAGTTACAATGCCAAGTACGCACGCTTGCTCAAAGTTGTCGTTGCAGTGATGGCCAAGCACCAGCATGCCATGATCAAACATGCTAACAAGTAGCGCAAAGAACGGAAATTCGAGGTAGGAAGTTAATGTATGGGTCAAAATGTATGAATTTTCTGATGAAGAGGGAGTATCACGAAAACTTCTTCCACTGTACTATGGTCCTTGCCAGGTTCTGAAGGTGATGCATGATGAGTTTGGCCCTTCGTATGTGATTGACGTGCCCCTTCATCTGCGCACGTATCTGGTCTTTCACGCATCCAAATTGTTTCCCCATATTGCCGATGAGACCTTTCCTTTCCGAGAGCCTATGACTCCTCGTGCTACCAACGGTGGTCACGAAATAGAAAATTGTTTACATGAAGGAAAAGGGAGGAACAGATAGTACAAAGTTCACTTCCTATATCACCCGTTGAATGAGTTCTACTGGATTGACCGAAAAGAGCTGTTACAGAATGCTCCCGTGTTGTTAAAGCTTACGAATGGCAGATAGTCGATGGACAAACTTCTCTGAAACACTTACTCCGTATGGTCATACCACAACTTTCTTCCTAATCTACGCTTATGATGCATTTTGTAGAGACTCTGAATGAGTAACTTGCTCGAAGAGACCTTGCTCTTGAGAGGGGGGTAGTGTAATGGCCCGCCAAAACACACACTGAGAACACTGCTGATTTCTGGGTTTGGTCGTTGGAATATATGCCTTCCTGAGATTTTTGCGTTCTGCTGCGTTTTCTAATTTTTTTTTTGTGTGTGTGAGTGTGCTTACTGGTTCGTGTGCCTGTTTGAGTGCACGTCTGCATAAGTGTGTGTCTGTGGCCCAAGAGAGCACTTATGTGTTGTGGGGCCCGCAGAGGCCGGTACTTACTTCTGGCCGTGACTTTGAAGGTTGCAGTGGGGAAAATACTCAAGTGGCGGAGAGTAGGCCCGCGACACTTAGGGCAATAGGGAAAAACAATCAAGTAGAAGGTAGGCCAGTATCACTCAGATAGAGCTAGATGTGTTGGGAACTGGAGGCTGAGCAGAAGAAGACAAAAAGTGTTAAGAGGCCCAGTAGCAGTAGGCTAGAGGTAGGCAGGTACCAGTCCAAGTAACTTGAGTCTAAGGCCTGTGCAGACGTGTGGTAGGCTAGAGGTAGGCAGGTACGCAGCTCTCTCTCTCTCTCTCTCTCACACACACACACACACACACACACACACACACACACACACACACACACACACACACACACACACACACAGATGATACTAAGCGGTGAAAGGCTGAGCTTTCGACCACTGATGCACTGCAGATGTCTCCAAGAGGGAGGTCGACTTTGGTTGGGGGCAGAGCTCCAAGATGTGGTTCCAGGTGAACGGACGACTTCACTGCACCAGGCCCTGTGCCCGAATGTTGGCCCTGTTGCCTCAGCAACACGGCCTAGGGAAACGGTATGCTCCTGGTCTAGATTCTACCCAGGAGCCCCATTCGTATCCTGGTTCAGCAGAGTCCAAGGCTTCCCATTCCTGCCGGCCAGCCATTCATCGCAAAATATCCGTTGTCTAAGGACTTCCTCCATCATGGTTGGCTCTCTGACCTTGAACGGGAATTTCTCTCCATGTTTTGATCAGATGTTACCAATTGTCACCCTTCTCCTCTTGCTGCCCTTCTTACATTCTCTTTGCCTCTCCTCATCGCCCACGATTCACTCATTAGCCAGAGGTGGCCCGTCATATTGTTGGACATTATACCTGGCCAGCTATCTAATCCTATCCCATGCTAAGGGAACCCTTGGAAGACAATGGTTTGATGATAGTAAATTAATGGTTTGGATTGAAGCACCATTGCTTGTAGCTCCGAATCAATGATGCCCAGGACCCCTCTATCCTTCATTGGATGCAACCTTGGATATAAAGCGCTCTCTTGACATATGTGGAGGTCCATAGGAAGGCTGCTCCCATTCTCATTAGTGTGGGGGCTAGTTGTGTGCTTGCGCTCCAAATTGTTGCTGCATACCATAGCATCGAAAAGATCAATGTGCACAGGGAGGTGTAGATAGAGGATCATGCACCCACTTATGTTAGCATCTTAGACAAAATTTCAGGGAGCTATCATGTGCGAGGGGCCTGATACGTTAACCCTCACTCCTAGGAACCTTAAAAGGTTCTGAGCTGTTCAGCCAGCACACTACTCCTGGTGTGTCCATCAGGATGGGGGCGAGAGAGAGAGAGAGAGACAGAGTCGCATACCGTAATGGAGCAGACCAGAACAAGAACCGACCTCTCTCACATAGTACAGGATAGCGCAGCGGAAGGCTAAAATACCAATGATCAGACCAATCAATGTCGCAATGCAGACCAAACATATATCATCATCATTGCAAGGTGTGAAGGGGCCTGGCGCTACACACGAAGAAAGCGCCAGGCTCAGATCATACACAAATCAAGAGGGGGATCAGACGAAGAAGAGGGAGGAGATGAGAATGTCGTCAAAACAAATGTCGTTGGTATCGATCCCAAATAGTCCCCCATCAATGTCTTTGTCGCAAGGTCGAGTCTGTATCCAAATGTCATCAACATCCCAAAGTCACAAATCTCTCTCTCTCTCTCTCTCTCTCTCTCTCTCTCTCTCTCTCTCTCTCTCTCTCTCTCTCACATAGTTTGTCGATACTGAGAAGTGAGGTAGCTGGAGGGTGAGGGAGAGATGGTGGACTGGAGGAAGAAGAGGAACAAGAACTCTCTCTCTCTCTCTCTCTCTCTCTCTCTCTCTCTCTCTCTCTCTCTCTCTCTCTCTCTCTCTCGTTGTGTCAGGCATTAACCTGAAAGGTGGCGCCGTGCTGCAGGTACCTTGAAGATGGAGCTCGAGCGATGGCGTCACAGGTAAGCTCCCAGGTGAGTCCCCCTGGCCTCCGCCACTCTTCTCCCTCTCAACGCTACCCTGAGGTCCTAGCAGCGCCCAGCGCTGGGTGATTACTCCTATCGTTACCTACTACTGCTGCAGCGCTCCTAGAGAGTACCGCTGCTGAATGCTTGAAGACTGAATGCCGCCTCCTAGGTGGACCAACTATATATATCGTTGGTCCGGTTGGGAGGCTGCTCTTGCCAATGCCGAATGGTACCAGTCCCTGGCCCCAAAAGTCTAGCGCCTAAGTTTGGCTCCCAAATTCGAATCGTCGAATTCGAAACAGGGCCTGAAAACGGCCTGGCGCCTACTGGGCCTATACCGGGTCTGGCGCCAAAACAGACGCCAGGGCCTATCGACCTACAGGGCCTATCGACCTACAGGGCCTATCTAGTCTGAAACGACACAGGCCTAACGGACCTCTACTTAAACTGAACTGACACAGGCCCTCAAGGGCCATACCTACCCCTGTCCTGCCTGGTCGGGCCCTGCGGCCTGTGTGGTGCTCAGTATGCCACCCCCCCCCCCCCTCCTTGAAAGACCGAGCCTACTTGCGAGGGCGGAGCTGTCTGTCGGAGGGAGGGACCAAAGTCCGGGTGGGAGGGGCAGGTCGTGAAGCTTCGTTAGCTAGTCTTTGTCGTTCGTAGTGAGCGTAAATCAGAGGTGCGGATGCTTGCAAATCTGCTCGTGAAATCCATCGAGTGTCATCAGGATCGCATGCTTTGAAGGTAACTTCGTACTGTCGAGGCTTGTTGTCGTACTTGCGATCCGTGATGACGAGGTCAACTTCCTGATGACCATCCATAGACGGAGGGAATTGCGATTGTCAGCTCGGGAAATCGTCGCTCTTTGTCGGCGTATATGTTGCCAACTTGGAGGCGTGAAAAACCGGGTGGACCGGTAGATGAGGCGGAATGTCGATCACAAATGAGCGGCCATCGGGCTCATTGCCCGCGGCTGATGTTACGGTCGACGGTCCATACCACTTGGGGAGGAAATTGAGTGAGATGCCTCGTTCGAGCGCAAACTCTTCCGCGGAGACCCAAACCAGGTCGCTGGTGCAGATAGGACATGGTATGCGACGCCGATTGGCTTGCTGCTGCATTCAGACTTCAGCCTTTTGCATGTTTATGGGGGCTTTAGCCATCAAGTCCCGGTACTTCCGAACGGAGGCAAGAAAGCAAGGGGCGTCAATGTCGGCAGTCCGTGGGAGGAGGAGATCAGCGAATATACAGCCTTTCCGGCCACCGTGGTGCAACTCGAAGGGAGTCACGCCGATCGCCAGATGCAACGAAGTGTTGTAGGCGAACTCAATGTCGGGAAGGCGGCCAACCCAATCCTTCTGGTTTGGACAGATAAGAGTACGAAGCATCATTTGAGCGGTTTGATGTGCCCACTCCGTTTGCCCGTCCGTTTGTGGATGCCGAGCCAAACTCAGTTTCATTTCGGTGCCGGACTCCTGCATGAGAGAAGTCGAAAATGCCAACATGAAACGATTGTTTTTGTCGCTAACAATGCCCTTCGGAACGCCGTGGTTGCAAATCCAGTCGGTGTGCAAGAGGCCCGCAAGCTCGGGAGCCGTGGCGTAGTACTTGCAAGGAAGAAATCGCGTGTATTTGCTCAACCGGTCAACGACCATGAGGATGTAGTCGTGCCCGAGACGATCGTGGGGAAACGGGATGGTGACATCCATAGCAACGGGGAGGTCGTGTTCCTGTGGGATAGGCAACGGGCGCAACTCGCCGTAGGGATTGCGGTTGCGGGGCTTGCTTCGTCAGCAAACTTCGCAATAGTCGCAGTACCGAATGAAATCGGTAATGAGGTCGGGCCACCAGAATTGTTGCCGAAGTCTTGCGATTATTCGGTTGACTCCGAAGTGTCCGGCGAGTCGCGAGTCGTGGTACTCGTCAAGGAGGCGAGTCCGGAGGCGACAGTCATGTGGGACGCATAGTAAGTCCTTGCCTCGCGAGTGGAGAAGCAAGTACCCATTCACGATGCGATAATTGCTGACCGGCGGTTCATCTGAAGATAGCTGCGCATATAGCGTGGCGTAATCCGGATCGAAATGGTAGCCCCGAATGAAATATCATTGGAGTTCCTCATCGAATGCGAAGGCATGATGTGTCATGGCGCAAAGATCGGGTCTGCGCAATTGGAGAGGCCGGCGAAAAGTTTCGGTGTGAAGTCAAATTGGTCGATGAAATACATCCATTGTCCGATAGTGCCGCTCACCGTATCTTGCGTCTTGTAGTAGGTCAACCAGTTGTTATCGGTGACCCATGTGAACCTACGACGCCCAAGGAGGAAGCGTCGCCATCGCTTGAGAGCCATCACGAACACGAGAAGCTCCTTCTTCCTTGCATCATCAAGTGAGTTGATGGGAGACACCTTGTGGCTGAAGTAGTCCACGGGATGCCAGTCGTCACCATCGTGTTGTTCCAAGACTGCCCCAATGCCATAGACGGAGGCGTCAATTGTCACTCTCGTTGGCAAGGTGGGGTTGTAGATGCTAAGGACGGGTGCCATGACCATGACCGTCTTGAGTGCTTGGAATGACTGGCGCGCTTCGTCGTCGAATGCGAATGGCTTCTTTGGCGATTGTAGTCTTGTCAATGGTGCAGCGGTCCTTGAGTACTCGGTGATGAAGCCTTGGTAGTAGCCTGCCAGCCCCATGAATGAGCGAACGTCCGTGGTGTTGGTGGGCTCGGGCCATACACGGATGCCCTCAATCTTGTCCTCGAGCTGACAGATGCCTTGCGGCGTCACATAATGGCCCAAGTATTCGAGCTCTTGCCACACGAATTCACATTTGTCGCGGTTGGCTTTGTACTTGGCTTGTCGTAGCTACTCCAAGGCGGTTCGCATGTGCTCCACATGCTCGTCCAAACTCCGACTGTACACCAAGATATCGTCGAGGTAAATGAGTACGAATCTGTCCAGCATGTGTCAGAACTCCGTTGTCATAGCCGCTCGGAACGTGGGCGGGGCATTCGTGAGGCCAAAAGGCATAACCAGCCATTTGAAATGCCCATATCGCGTTTTAAACGCGGTCTTGTAGCGGTCCTCCCACCGGATCTCGAGTTGGTGATATCCCGATTTGAGGTCAAGCTTGGAGAAAAAATTAGCGCCGCCCACACGTTCGAGAAGGTCCTCGATGCGCGGAAGAGGGTCGGCGTTCTTGACGGTTTGTGCGTTGAGCTTGCGATAATCAATGCACAACCGCAAGTCCTTGTTCTTTTTTCGGGCGAAGAGAACGGGGGCTCCGTATGGCGAAGAGGTAGGCCGAATCCAACCTTTCTCAAAACGGTCGTCGAGTTGTGCCTGTAGCACACTTAACTCTTCCTCGCTCGTGCGGTAGATGCAACCACGCGGATGTACGGCCCCGGCCTCGAGAATAATCTCGTGGCAAATTGGCCGATTCGCTATGACTTCGTGCGGGGCTTCAAAAATGTCGCCATAAGTGTCGAGAAGCTTGGTGATGCGTGGGTCCGTTGAGACGTCCATCGATGGGTTGTCATGCGGAGGGAGGTCGAGAAAATATAAGCCCATCTCCTCGACGTTGTCCTGTGTGATGGAAGCTCGAAGGCTCGCAGCGGACACCACGTGACAACTGATCTAAGGGTGAGGTGGAGGCACCGTGCACGGCACTAGTACCCTGTGTCAAACACGAATGTGAACAGTGCGGCGATAGAAGTTCATCGGGTGATCCTCGATTTGCAGCCACGACATGCCCAAGATCATGTCGAACTTGGTGTCCAAAATGTCAAAGGACACGGCCTCGTTTGTGTGCGGGGTGAAATACACGGGGACGCCATCAATGCACCGGTCAATTGACTTGTGCATGTGACCAGCGGCCAATGTGACTTGCGTGGGCTGCGACTTCCTTCGAATATGTGGCCCAAGGCCAACGTGTACCATAAAATCTTGGCTCATATAGTTGCGAGTGGCTCTGCAATCGATCAAAGCGTTGCAGGTCGCTTCTCCGACCTGAATGTGTATGTACAGTAATGGTGCGTCGTTGTTGTTATACCGTTGTGTCTTGAACTCGCGATCAATCTTCGCAAGGTAGTCGCGAAGGTCGACAACCTCTACTCCGGCGTCCATCAACGGAGCTGGTACTGCAGTGTGCAAGTAATCCCCCACTTGTGCCATGAGCGCATTGCAATGCGGTCTCGACAATCAACCGGTCGGGGGAAGGGGCATCCATTGGAAGTCCACGAACGTCAACGGGTCAAGTTCCTCAAGTCCTGACCATGACGTCGAGTCCCAACCGGAAGTTGGCGGTGAATCTGCCGAATCAGTTGTCGATGGTGATGAAACCGTGCATGCGGTGGAGTCTTGCACCTGGAGTGGCTGGTCCATCGGTGGGACCAAGTGGACAGCGTAATCCTCGTCAGTGTATCGAGGACTTGCGACATCCGCGTTCTCCCCAGATGTGTAGGAGGCCGCTAGCAAGGCGGCCGAATCTAGCAGAGTGAGAGGTGAAGTCGCCTCACCTCCCGCGCAGCTCAATTTCTTGAGCTGGTTCGAGTTCGCACATCCTCCTTGCCTTGATCTTGGCATTGGGAGGTCTTGTGCTTGGTGCGGTTGCACCAATAGCACCAACCATACCGGCTGCGCCACTTGTATTCGGCCTCGGTCAAGCTAAACTTGACCCATGGTACTGGTCTCCGTTTCTGGCCGGCGATGCTGGTTTCGCCTTCCCTTTTCCCAAGATTTGTTGTTGCTTCGCAGCTGGGCAGCGGCCACCTGACCTCCCTCATGTGATGCTGGGGTGGTTGTCGAGTCTTCCACAAGGTTGTCCGATTGGACTACAGCGACGGGCTGTGGACGCGGACCAAATTTTCCTTTCTCCACATAGGCGGGCTGTGACGTGGATTTCTCGTGTGCAGCAGCGCGGTTGCCCTTAATGATCTCACGAGCCTTGTCGATGATTTCAGCGAAGGTCGTGTATTTTTCGCGATCACCGAGAGCAAGGCTCAAGGCGGCACACTACCGGTTGTAGAACTCACGGCGCAGACGCGAAAATGGCAAGTCGAGATCGAGTGTTGCCACGATCTTTTGCCATTCCGTGAGCCAGTCGCGTGTCGGTGTGTTGCCTTGAGTCATGGCGAAGAGGCAGTTGACGGCGAGCGTCGGGGCGTCGTCAACGATGAACCGCTTCTTCCATTCCTTCGTTAGATCTTCCCATTGGTGCAGGTCGTCGACCTGGACGCCGTGGATGGTTGCCACGTGGGTGAGCCAGATCTGGCAGCCACCCTTGGCATTGAGGAACAGCGCCGAGATGTACAAGTATTCGGGGACCCGATGAATCCGAATCTTCGTCGTAAAGCCTTGCCAACAGACGACTGGGGCCTGATGCGTACAGTCATCAAACTTCTCGATCCGGAACGTCGGCATCTTTGTACTGCCGTGGTGCACCCGTGCTGCCATCGTTGGCGGGCGGCTGCTGTAGCTGCCTGATCTCGGTCTTCAAGGTGCCGAGCTGCTCGCTGATGGTGGCTGGTGCGGCGAAAGTGTTGATGTCGCCGAGCATTGTGAGTACATGGTCGAGTCGCTGCTCCAACTGGCGGGTTGAGGCTGCATTGCTGGGTTTGCGAGCATCTGCTCTTGGCGCTGCTTGCTCCAAGTCCTGTGCACGAGTATGAAGTGCCCGTGTGGCATCCTCATGCAGACCATTGTCGTTCTGCACTGCCTGTCGGAGATTCTCCAGTTCCTGGTGCTGGTTCTCTAGCTCGGACTGCAGGTCGTTACAAGTGTAAACCAACCAGGTCACGAGTTTTGAGAGAAACTCCTTGTGTTGCTCTTCCGGTGTTGGGCCTTCGGATGGATCAAAGTGCCAAAACTTGAGCCTGTCGACGCTGGCGGCTCCGTGCCGCTGCAGCAGATCTCGGGCCTGCTTGCGACGGGCCTGGGTATCTGAGTCAGCTGCGGCCTGAAGCCGCTGCTTTTCAATCGCTGCCTCCGCTTCAGGCGGGCAGCCTCGGCTTCCGCCTGGTGCTGTTCCTCAGCCTCAATCTGTGGGAGCTGATCTTGGATCCGTTTGCGGAACTCGACAATGGACTCGTCGGCGAGTTGGCCCAGCATGCCCAAGGCTGAAGCCGACATTCTGACGGGGCACTGCTGCTGACGTGGCACTGGTGATGACGCGGCCTTCGCTTCAGCCTGTAGGCGGTCAGCGTCGTCTTCCGCCTGGCGCTGTTGCTCAGCCTCAATCTGCGCAAGCTGATGTAGGATCCGTTTGTGGAACTCAACAATGGACTCGCCGGCGAGTTGGCCCAGCATGCCCAAGGCTGAAGCCGGCATTGTGACGTGGCACTGCTGCCGTGGCACTGGTGCTGATGTGGCACTGTTGACATGGCACTGCTGCTGTCGTGGCACTGCTGCTGACGTGGCACTGCTGACATGGCACTGTTGACATGGCACTGCTGACGTGGCACTCGCTGACGTGGCACTTACCAAACCGGGAAAACAGACAAGGGGCTGGGTGGGAGGGAAACGCAGGTAGACAAACCAACTGCACTTTCCATTCCCGGTCCTAATCAACAGAAAAAAATAAAAAAAAGAAAAGGATTCCTCTTTTTTTTTGTTTTTCTTTATCAATATCTGTCGATCTGATATCAGTGAGGCATTTGTGCGAGGCCACAGCCTCTATGACCCCCTTTCAGGCCCTTTTCAGCAGCACAGCGGCCGCCCTAAGTGAACGCAGGCTCGACGAGGACCTCAGGGCCTCTATATTTCGGCCACTGCGCAACTAAGGAAATTCAGGCAGTTGCGCAGCGCCAGTTGGTTAAAAGAACCCAGGCCCTGGGCCGCCTGTTTGCATGTATCAAAAGCAGGCCCTGGGATGGATACAGGGTATGGGCCAAACACAGGCCGAAGGCAGTTGGGCACAAGCATCCACCTCAGGCCCTAGGCCTGATCTGTTTCGGGCTGGGCCTCAGCCTACCGGGGCCTACCGGAAGCTTCTTGGGAAAGGCCCAGCGCAGCCTGGGACAGAACGCAGGCAGGCCACTTCCATATAGCAAAGGGCCTACCTCCGCATTGGGTATTCGGGTGCTGGCTGCATGCTGCGCAAGCGCTGCTGCGCTAGAGCTGGCTGGCACTCACGCGCTCACGGGCGAGCAGGAAGAAGCAGGCAGCCATAGCCGAGCTGCGCTGCTGTGAGCTGGGTGAGGCGCAGGGTGGTCCTTGGGTGCAAGTGGCATCTGTGTGTTGGGGAACGAGGTTGTGAGYGAGGCGAGAGACATACCTGGTGCTGGAAGCGTGCGACATTAAGGAGCAGGCAGCCATAGCCGAGCTGCGCTGCTGTGAGCTGGGTGAGGCGCAGGGTGGTCCTTGGGTGCAAGTGGCATCTGTGTGTTGGGGAACGAGGTTGTGAGTGAGGCGAGAGACATACCTGGTGCTAGAAGCGTGCGACATTGGTCGCTGTATGCTCCTACTTCGGGAAAGCTGTTGACGTCATCTTCGGCATTGTAGTCTAGGCTAGATAGGATCTGCCATCTGTAGTCTGGGCGCCGAGCGCCAGATAGGTTATCAACATTGGTTCTTCGTTGATGATGATGATGAGACTATACCAGCATTGTCAATTATGAACTTGTGGTGTGCTCTTATTTGGTGAAGCTCGTGATGCAATTCTGCTCTTGGTTCGAGGTCACGACTATCGGGTCTTATGTGTATGATGCTGTTTGATTGCTGAAGTTCGCTATTGCTCATCTTCCTTGCATTTGTGGAGGGAAGTATGAGTGAGATCTAGGCAGGGCTTCGCAAAATTTCGAATTTCCTAAAATGCAATTTTGAAATAAAATTGTGCGGACTAGAATGGAGATTCAAATTTCAGAAAAGGATAGATCCAGTTTCCAAGAATATGACAACCCCCTTAATTAACCTAACATGCCTAGAGGTACGGTCAGACATTTTCCGACGATTTCGGGATCCTGAAAATTTTGGACTTCTGGTTTTCACGGAATCGTGAAAATTTCAGAATTCTGGATTTCGCGGAATCACGAAATTCTGGGCATTCCAGATTTCGCAGAATCACGATATTCGTGGAATTCCGGATTTTGCGGATTTATGAAAATTCCGAAACTTCCGAAGGTGTTACTTCAGTGCGAGGCCAAGGCCCCGATGAGCCCCTTTTTGGGCCTGTTATGCAGCACGTCGGTCGCCCTAAGTGAAGGCAGGCTCAACGAGGGCCTGAGGGCCCCTATTTCAGTCACGACGCAACTGTGGAAAATTCAAGCAGTTGCGCAGCGCCAGTTGGTTGAAGAGCACCCAGGCCCAGGCCACCTGTTTGCATATATGAAAGGCCCTGGGCTGGATACGGGATATGGGCCAAACATAGGCCGAGGACAGTTGGGCACAAGTAACCACCACAGGCCCTGGGCCTGATTCGTGTGGACTGGGCCTCAGCCTACCGGGGCCTACAGGAAGCTTCTTGGGACAGGCCCAGTGCAGCAGCAAGCAGGCCACTTCCATAAAGCAAAGGGCCTGCCTCCGCATTGGACATTCGGGTGCTGGCTGCA